TCCGTAGATGAACTTTAATAGTAGATGTAGCTGTATCTGGGGTTGAGGATACAAGCGCAAGACTGTCAACATGTACAAGTGTGGATGTAGCTGCGGATAAAGTGACATGTTCTAGGCCATTTCCATGAACCTCACTATTTAGAGGTACATATTCCACTATAGCTGATACATAACAGACTGGTTCTTTTTGTTCGACAAGTACATATGGAAAAGTAGCTGTTGTTTCGACAGGTACAAAGGGTACTGTAGCTACAGGGGTTTCATTACTGAGCTCAATGCCATCCGGAGAAGCTAAGAGGTTTCAAGATATCTATGTTTCAGAGGGGGAGAGCTTGGATTTCTGTTGGCCCTAGCTGAGGCAATAGTTTGGGTGAGTAGATCTGAAGCACAAAAGGATCCCTAGATGGTACAGCCTAGGCTGGCTGTGCGGACGAACTAGTAGAGAGACAAGGAGGATGATTCTGTTTGGGGGGGGGGGGATTCTTCTTCGCCATGTCGGTAAATTCTCGGCACCGGAAGCAGTGTAGGAGGAGAAAAAAATTTAAAGGTCGTATTTCGGTCGAGAGAAAAAATTAAAAACTCAACGCTCATTTATGTTCAAGTTATTACATATATCTCCTATATATTAATACAAAAACATTTAAAATTTTTATAACCTGTAGTTTGTATCAATTAAAAAAGTGACATCCTAAATTGTCACATAATTGGAATGCTAATTTTGCATGGTGGCTTGACAATCAATTGGTAATTTTGTTAGTCGAAAATTAAATTTCTAGGTAATGTTATATTATATAGTATGTCCAGCATGGACCATTTATTTATTAAATTAAAATTTATTATATATTTCTTTTAAAACCTATGGAATTACCTAATGTGATTAAAAATATATATGGAAATTAATAATTTTAAAATAAATATTTGCTAACAATCTCTATACTTTTTATCATTTTTTACAATTCTTTATTATTAAAATAAATTACACAATTACATTAATTATATAATAAAAATTACTTTTTGGTATATGTTGTATTTTGAATTTTTCAAAACGAGAATAAATTACTAAAACTGTTAAAAGTCCCACATAATTTTTTGTGATCAAGGTTTAATTTTTTTCTATAATAAGATACAATGATTATAAAATCAGATGAATAAATAATTTTATTTTAATAGGTGTATATGTTAATATATATATTTCATATCGTTTATATTAAATTATACATCATATTAAAATACAGACTTATATTTTGATATATGCATTGAACATATATTGAAAATTTAATATTTTAATTTTGAAATCTTCATTGTTTTTTTAAAATGATTATAAATTATTAAAACCACTAAACATTCCACAATGAAATTTTTTTGTTGGTGTAAACTTTTGTTGCGTAAATATGCAAATAATCATAAAATCATATGAATAGAAACCTCATTTAATAAATATTCATATCAAAGGTATACTATATATATATATATATATATATATATATATATATATATATATATATATATATATGTGTGTGTGTGTTAATATCATTTGAAATTAATTATATATCATATACGATAGATAACATTGATTGTTTTGATCTATTTACCCTAAAATGATTGCGAATAAACAAGAGCAGTCGTTTGATTTATATGTGCACCGCCAATTTATTACATAAGTAACTGATTTTCTTAGTTATTTAATATATACTTATTAATTTATTATTTCAAAATATGCAGAAAATATAAGATAAGTAATAAATATAAAGTATTGATTCTGGACAAGGCGCATATCTTAACTTATGTATATATCTCTTTAATAATTTTAAATCTTAAACGTTTTCTAAATCTAAAACCAAAACAAAAGAAGAAAATAAGAATATACTCAAAAATCAATATTTATATTGAGTAATAGTCAAAATGAAAAAAAAAACAACAATAAAAAACAAAAATATTGAAATGGTTAAGATTGACGTGAACATAAATTTCTCATAACCATAATTAACTTTAATTTAGAAATTCATGATATAAAACCAAACTGATATAGTTTCATTGTATCCAAGTAGTAGGTTTGAGATTATTCAGCCAGATAAGTGAACTTTTTACCTAAAATTAATATTTTTAAAATAGGATCTGCTCATCATTAAGCAAGTTATGTATTTAACAAAAAGAAATTTAAAAAAAATGTTTAAGGGCCAAAATATTAATTCATTCAAAATATAAAATTTATTTTCTATATTATATTTTTAAATAATTTTCATATACATCCACCCTAGGCGCATTGTTATCTTAGTATTTTATTATTTAGCATTGTGAGCTGTAAAAGTCAACTTAGAGAGAAAATACCTCAGTTTATCATTGTAACGCTCGTGATACTCAAGATAAATATAAGGATTTGTGGACTCTTCATGATTGACATGCGGACACCATTTGCTTAGATATGAGAGATTTATGGTCTTTTTTTTTTTTTTTTTTTGTTCAAAGAGAGATTTATGGTCTCTCCATGGTTTACACACGGCGAAACATATTTTTGTTTTTTGTTCAAGGCCAAACATTTATTTAAAATAGATGTGTTCTTTATGACTTACACGCCTTAAAATGTTACTTCTAACAAATCCTATTGTTTTTAGGTAATAATTTGAAAAGTTTGAAAGTAATTAATTAAGGTAGTTAAAGATTTAGCAAGACTGTATTACTATTAACTCTTCTTAAATATACTTCTATCCATTTTTATATTACATGCTAACTATGTGTGCATATATTATGGACATATATGTCCTCTATTCCATACTTAGAGGCAACAAAACAAGTAATACCAACGTTCAAAAACTTAAAGCAACTTTTTTTGAGGGTTCTTGTTTTTGGGTTCTCAAAACATATATATGTGTATGTATATATTATATATGCATATATAATATATGTATATACATATATATGTTTTAAGAATTCAAGATCAAGAACTTTCCAATAAAGTTGCTCTTACAACGAGCTAAAGGAAAGAGGTGAAATCTATTTTACTCTCTTTATTCTAAATATTACATTGGATTAATATTTTATATATACGTAGTGTTGATTTGAAAGAATTTACATTCGAATACGTATGTGGGAGGATAGGTTCCGTTTCAAGAAGTGTCTTTGTTGTCGGGAATGGAAATTGTTCCTTTCCCTGAAAATTCTTAGCATCATGCTCACGTAACACGTTAACAATCTCCTCCTTTGGAGAATAGACTGAATTTGTTAAATTGTTGAAAATCTCCTTTACATATATATATATATATATATATATATATGTAGTTGTTTATTTTTGTTTAGAAACAAATTGGCGTAGCTTTTTTTTTTTTGCTTTTTTACTGTACCACATACATGAAAAATATATACAATCATCCTTTCTTTTGTCCTTTTTATCTTGGAATATCTCTTTTTACATACATACATTCATATATTATATGATATGATAGGAACTTTTTAAAACCAAAAAGAGACCCATATGAGATGATGATGACGATTGTGACAAATAATCTTATTTGTGAAAAATATAAGAAAATATAATTCTTTTAAAATTTGAAAAGTCTATAGATCTGTCCGTATATATATATATATATTTTTTTTTTTTTTTTTTTGGTAAAAAAAATTAACACAATTAAATTGCGTATATATATATATATATATTCACATATATATGTATAAGAACTTTGAGATATTGTTTTGATAAATGTCTGTAATTTAAAATATCAAATTAATGTTATTATTTAAATTTTGCATATCTGTTCTATTGTTTATATTTAACATTAACAGACCTTTTTGGAAGTAAGTATTATTTTTATTATACAAATATAGTCGGTTAGGTTATATTTAAACATGTTATACATATGCTCGATGGTTTTTTTTTTTTACTTTTTTTTATGGTTCGTAATTTAATTAACTAATTCATGTTTAAACTCACGATTTTTACTTTTGCATCCGCACCTGCTTTAGAAATTGATTAATTGGCATTGGAAATGTATTTTACGACATTATATTTGGTCAAATGCTTACAATTTATTTATATCGTAAGAACACATCTTCCAACATTTTACTTATTTAAGCTATATATAATAACAAAATTATTTACCAAAAAAAAAAAAAAATATATATATATATATATATATATATATATATATATGTCTAAAACCAAAAAAATTTTAGGCTAGATATGCAATTGCTAAGCTTTTCCTTGTAAAAGAGCAATCTCGTACTGATGTCAACTATCGTCTTCTACTATGTTTTAGTGTCATAGTTACACCTTGGTAATATGTTCTACAAAGCTTTGTAGATCCAGTTTATGTATCCTTCAATTTATTATTCACATATGTTAGCGAGGGAGAGGAGCTGTTGAGGGTTGTCTCACGCACCATACCCTGTCGTTTTGTGGCAAATGGATTGGGTCCACCGACCTCTGTAGTATTTTTTTTTTCTTTTTCTGAAAATTATATTTAGTTATCCAAAATAAATAATAAATTGTTCTGTATAGGTCTTAGTGTCTACAGTCGGCAGCCAATTGTTTAAAATAGTTTTATTTCAAATTTGTAACAAACAAAACAAAATTTACCGCAAAGAATATTTATTTATATAATATTTAGTTTTTAGTATCCTATGTATCATATAAAATATCATACATAAAATAAAAATTACACCAAACAAACCAAGCTAGATTGATTTTTAACACTCTAGGCCTAGGCTGTGCCTATGGAGTTCGGGTGAGATTTTATTTATTTATTTGTTACTACCCTAACACTCGTTTTCACTTGTCACTATAACCTTCTCCCATGTATTACTACCTCACATAAATTTCTCTGTTTTTAATTCTCTATTAAAAATTAACAACAATTCATCTAAAATCAGAAATATCCTCTTTTTAGGGCTTTTTGAGATAAGAAATAAGTGGAAGTCAAAAAAGAATTTAATGTTACGAGTTTCTTCTCTCTAGTTTTATTTCATTTTTCTTCTCTCTCACCATCACACAGAACACAGAAGAATCCATGGCTGCTTCTTCATCCTCTGGTGCTTCCTTCTTTGGAGTTCGCCAAAATGACCAATCTCACCTTCTTCCTCCAAATTCCTCCGCCACCGTCGCTCCTCCTCCTCCTCCTCATCATCACCAGCCACTGCAGTCTCAGCAACCCCTTGAAGCTCCGCCGCAGAAAAAGAAGAGAAACCAACCAAGAACTCCAAGTAAGTTAATTATCACTCCCTAATTGAATCTTATCATCTTAATCTTATAAAATCCTATGATCATATCTACTGCTTGGTGAAAAAGAGAAATCCCTTTTTCGTCTCCTTTTTTAATAGTCGATTCTTGAAATAAGCAAATTAGCAAAACCCTAGTTCTTGATTTTGCAAAATTGATATTTTCACTAACTATATCATGCAATAAAAAAATCTTTTACTAATCAAGATTTCACTTCTTCTCTTAATTAGATTCCGATGCAGAAGTGATAGCTTTATCTCCAAAGACACTAATGGCTACAAATAGATTTATATGTGAAGTATGCAACAAAGGGTTTCAAAGAGAACAGAATCTACAACTTCATCGAAGAGGACATAATCTTCCATGGAAACTTAAGCAGAAATCGACCAAAGAAGTGAAGAGGAAAGTATATCTTTGTCCAGAACCCACGTGCGTCCACCATGACCCGTCACGTGCTCTCGGAGACCTCACCGGAATCAAGAAACATTATTACCGTAAACACGGTGAAAAGAAGTGGAAATGCGAGAAATGTTCTAAGCGTTACGCTGTTCAATCGGATTGGAAAGCTCACTCCAAGACTTGTGGTACCAAAGAATATCGTTGCGACTGTGGCACACTCTTCTCCCGGTAATTATTCGAAAATCTTTTCAACACTTTAAATTATAATTAATCTCTTAATCATATATAGCTAAATGATATGTGTGTGATATGTGTCTTGAGTCATTCTTCATGGATTAGGGTTTATTCGTAGGTTCACTTTCTGTTTCGCCTCGAAGTCGTCGATGCTCTTATCACTTTTATCGTGCAGTAAAAGCAACTTTAATTGTTTTTTCTTTAAATAAAATATTAAAAATCATAATTGATAGATGAACACACGTGAATGTGTGTGTGTATCTAACTATATATCTATATATGACACTGAAACTGCCATATTACATTTTAGATACTTTCTAGCAGAAACTCAATACCGAAGAGGACCAATTTCAAATTTGTGTTCTTTTATTGTTTTTTCTACATATCTTGCCTCGTAAACACCGCCTTATTTTCTGTCAGAAAAATAAATCAATTTTCAGGTTTTTTTCGTAGATGTATTCATGTATTTATACTACGAGTAATTCACGTGCTGCTAAACTATATAATAGAGAGTTTGTCATTTTAAAATGTTTCTCCTTTATGTTTCGTTTTTACTCTGCACCATAATCACACAAACCACATATTTTATTTTTGAATCTGAACTACATGGTTCTTTTGGATTCAGTACAATATACATTTGCATAAAATGGCGCTAACATTTATCTGAAGTGGCAACTAATTTTTTTTTTTTTTTTTTTGAAGTGGCAACTAATACACTACAAACAATTTCAAATTTGGATTTTGTTTTGGTTCTTGGTTGGATTTGATGTGTTTGTGTGTGTGCGTGCACGTAGAAGAGTTCTAAAAATAGAATGAAGGAAACAAAAATATGGTGGAATAAATATATATACATAAGTGCATTTATGTATATTATAAGTCCTGATCACTGAATACATTCTGAAGTTTCATTTATTGAACTTATAGCATATTGAACTAAAATAGATTCAGATATTCATTTGACAATCATTCTCTCTACATACTACCATCGTGGAACTCAACTTTTTCCACCTACCTTTTTATGTCCTTGTATACCCATTATTGTTTAAAGACACATTTATACACACATACATACACATGGGTTATAGTTAGCAATGAGTCAATGACGAGCATATCTTATGTATATATATTTTTAGAATTAAATAATGATTATGTTAATTAAATATTGCATATACTGATATATATATATACAGTTGTTCGTACGCATAATCTTTTAGGCGCATACATCATCTATTGACTCATTGCTAACTAAACTTTGACCCAAAAAAAATACACCGTCGATTGTACTCCTAATGATGTATATGGGGGCGTTATTTGTATAAGCATCAATGCATGTGAGTATTTTCAAGAATTTTTGTAAGCTGTTATAAATTTACATAGATGAAACAATAATAGGTTTGTAAAATAGAGTAGTAGAATGACTGTCTAGCCTAGCCATCCACAATCTACTTTTCAAGATCCCATAAAAATCACAAGCGAATACAGTATATTTGTAGCTACGTGAGTGACGTGACATGAGTCTCTCTCTACTTATAAATATTCTTTCTTTCATTTTCCCCAAAATATGTCTTCTTATTTCATCGCTTAATTTATATATACACCTGACGATCCAATAGATTCCGTTGTGAATTAAATAGTTAATGTTAAATCTTTTTTGAGTCACAGGCGAGATAGTTTCATTACACATAGAGCCTTCTGTGACGCGTTGGCTCAAGAGAGTGCGAGACACCCAACTTCTTTGACTTCCTTACCAAGTCATCAATTTCCGTACGGACAAAACACCAACTCCAACAACAACACTTCAAGCATGATGCTTGGTTTGTCCCACACGGGGGCCCCACAGAATCTTGGTCATCCGTCTGGCGACGTTCTCCGACTTGGAAGCGGCGGAGGAGCCGCCTCACGCTCTTCATCTGATATCATTGCTGCGAATGCTTCAGGTTACTTCATACAAGACCAAAACCCTAGCTTTCATGATCAGCAAGACCATTATCACCATCAACAACAAGGATTTTTGGCTGCAAGCAATAACATCAAGCCATCACCAATGAATTTTCAACAGAGTCTGATGCAGTTCTCTCATGATAGCCATAACTCTCCTTCCTCAAATCTCTTCAATCTCAGTTTCCTCTCTGGAAACAACGGAGTTGCTTCTGCTACAAGTAACCCTAATGCTGCAGCTGTTTCTTCGGGTAATCTTATGATCTCAAACCATTTTGATGGCGAAAATGCTATTGGAGGCGGAGGAGGAGGAGAAGGAAGCACGGGTCTCTTCCCTAACAATCTGATGAGCTCGGCGGACAGAACCAGCTCAGGAGCAGTGCCTTCACTCTTTAGCTCATCTATGCAAAACCCCAATTCAACACCTCACATGTCAGCCACTGCTCTTCTTCAAAAAGCTGCTCAAATGGGTTCAACCTCAAGCAACAACGGAAGCAACAACAATAATAATAACAATGCCTCATCCATTCTAAGGAGCTTTGGGAGTGGAATGTATGGAGAAAACGAGAGTAATTTTCATGATTTGATGAACTCTTTCTCTAACTCCGGCCCAACGGGAAACAACGCTAATGGAGTACATTCTCCGTTTGGTTCGTACGGAGGAGTGAACAAAGCTGATAAACAAAGCATGACTAGAGACTTTCTTGGAGTTGGACAGATCGTAAGAAGCATGAGTGGTAGTGGAGGGTTTCAACAACAGCAACAACAACATGGAAATAGTAGAGAAAGAGTTGGCGCTTCGTCGGATTCCGCCGATAGAAACAGCATGAATTTGAATCCTAGTGGTGGTCCGGCAACTTCACCACCGTATGGAATCCATCATGCTAGTTTCTAGCTAAGTGAATTTTTTTAAAAAGGTTTTTAGTTCATCAAAGTACATGCTATCTTTTCAGGTATACATGTCGTCATCAAAATCCGTAATTAAAATTTAGTTGCAAGTTACTCGATTTAAGTTTATCACAAAATAGTTGCAATTTATCTAAACCAGCTCCATTTTCTCTCTTGTAAAAGATTTTTCCTTTATAGTATAATTTTATTGTTTTATTGTTTTATTGTTTTATTGTATAATTTTTTTTTTTTATAACGGCTATTTTATTTGATCAGTGTGATAATACATAATCAGTATGAAGATCTTTTGAAATAGATCTTGGAACATAATAATGAAACCAGAAACTATTATTGAAAGGAATATCTTGCTTAGCCAAAGTATCTGCAACTTTATTCCCATCTCTTCTGATCCAAGTAAACTTCACTTCCTCAAACTTTTGCTTCCAAAACTCTACATCTCTGATCCAATTATAAGCACTGAAATGTAAACCTTGATGATTCAGCAACTCTATTGCCTTCTGACAATCTCCTTCAAATATGACCTTTTTATATCCTTTTCCCCAACAATATTGCATAGCCATAACAATCGCTTGAAACTCACATTCCAGAGGTGTGTTGACTTGATTTGCCACTCCTTGGCAAGCTCCCAGATAGAAACCCGTATCATCACGAATTACCCAACCTGCCCTACTCATTGTCTCTGTGTTGCGAAAAGAGCCATCCACATTGCATTTTATCCATCCTGTAGGTGGACATCTCCAACTCTTGTTAAAATTATCTCCTCTCAAATTTTCAGCACCATTTCTCTTTTTTTGGACTTCCTTCTCTCCATACTCTGCCCATTCATTTGCGTCTCGTCTAGCTTGTTGTAATACTAGACTCCAACTCACATGCTTATGTTGGAATAGGAGAGTATTTCTACTCTTCCAAAGCCGCCATAGAATCCAGAACGGGTAATTGGCTATATGCTTCAACCGAGCCGATAAAGAACATTGTAGACAAGCTTCTAGTTTCTCTTCAAGTGTAGCCTGAGGATTTGTGATAATTGTATTAGAAATCCCTGATGCTCTCCAGACTTGTTGAGCATACATACAATCAAAAAGGATATGTTTCTCTGTTTCTACTCCTTGACAACATCTCCTGCATTGATCATTTGAAGAAATATGTCTCCTCCTTAAATTATTACCCGTAGCCAAACTCCGAGCTAAAACTCTCCATAAGAAATGATGCAATTTCGAAGGCATTTTCGTTCTCCAGACTTTATTTTTAAGATCTACATTCCCAAAGGTTGGTTCAATCACCGTTGCTGTTGGCTGATGTGTGCTTAACCAATAACCCGACTTCACAGTGTATATCCCATCTTGATTATAATTCCATCCCAGCAGATCCTGCTTAGCTGTGGAACAAATTTTAATAGCTAGAACCTTTGGAACATCCTCCTGAACTATCATCTCCCGTACTTTATGTTCATCCCAACCTTGACCATCACTTCGAAATAGTTGATTAACTTTCCCAACCAGAGTTCCTTCAATGCGTGCTTGTGGTGGTCTTGGTGTATGTTCTGGTAGCCATGGATCCGTCCATGCATTAATGAGGCTGCCATCTCCAATAACATATCTCATTCCTTGTTTAACCAAATCTCGGCCATATAATATTGACTTCCAGGCATATGATGCTTTCCGACGTTGTACAGCCTGTAATATGTCTCCATCACTAAAGTACCGTGCCTTTAGCATCCTTGCCATTAAACAATTAGGGTTCTGAAGGATCCTCCAAACTTGTTTCCCAAGCAACGCTTGATTAAAGTGTTCTAAATCTCTAAATCCTAGCCCACCCTCTCTCTTTGGTAGACTAACTCTTTCCCAGGAATACCAATGCATACCTTTCTTGTCACCATTACCCCACCAAAATTTTGCCAACACGCGATTAATCTCATCACACACTTCCTTTGGCAAACGAAAAACATTCATCGAAAAGATAGGCATAGCAAGAGCAACAGCTTTTAATAGTACCTCTTTTCCTCCTGGAGATAAATACTTCTTACTCCATCCTTGAGTTACAGCTTTAACTTTGTCGATGATGTAGGCAAACGTATCACTCTTACGATCAGTAAACTGCTCTGGCATTCCCAAATATTTACCAATACCACCTGCATTATGAATCCCCAATATGTTCCTCATACGAGTCTTCACCGTGGCTGTAACCTTACTACCAAATGTTATTGAGGATTTGTGAAGATTAACTGCTTGACCCGATACCAGTTCATAATCTTCTAATATCTTCTTTAGTTTCTTTCCAGCTCGAGGATTAGCCAATGAGAAAAATAGAGAATCATCCGCAAACAGAAGATGATTAACAGCAGGAGCTTGAATTGATATTTTAACCCCCATTAGTGTTCTATTCTCCATTGCTTGATTCATCATGTGTGATAGGACCTCAGCACATAGAATAAATAAGTAAGGGGATAATGGATCCCCTTGACGTATTCCCCGTTCTGGCTCAATAAAACCTTCTGGAGAACCATTAATTAAAACTGAGAAAGAAACTGAAGTCACACAACTCATAATCCATTGAATCCATGTACTGCAGAAGCCCATTCTTCTCATTGTTTCTTCAAGGAAACTCCATTCTAATCTGTCATATGCTTTAGTAATATCCGTCTTGACAGCCATATAAGAAGAAGCTTGTCGTTTTCTAACCTTCAGACTATGGAAAATCTCATGGGCAATAATTATATTGTCTGTTATCACCCTCCCCGGAATGAAAGCTTGTTGATTTTCAGTTATGAGTCCAGCAAGATGTATCTTCAGCCGATTCACTAGGACTTTTGATATTACCTTATATGCAACATTGCAAAGGGCAATCGGTCGAAACTCAGCCATTCCGGTTGGTGGATAGATTTTCGGGATCAAGCAGATATTGGTATGGTTGAGTTGCTTATCAATATCTCCAGTTGCAAAAAATCGTTTAACCTCTGCAACAATTTCTTCCTTGATGTCCTCCCAATATTGGTGATAGAAGATCGCAGAAAATCCATCAGGTCCTGGTGCTTTATGAGGACCTATATCAAACATAGCCGCACATATTTCCTCTTCTGTTACCTCTCTAGTAAGATCAGAATTGACTTCACCGGAAACCTTGCTTTGAAAACCATCAAACACCTTATCGTACATACCCGTTGGGACAGGAGATGATGTAAAAAGTGTTTGAAAATACTCCTGCGCCACTCTTCCAATGTTATGTTGACCTTTGTGTATCACACCATTTGAGTCTTGTATTGAAGTTATATTGTTTCGACATCTCTTTCCCTTGGTAATTACATGAAAAAATGCAGTATTTCTATCTCCTGATCTTAACCAAGATACTCGACTTTTTTGCTGCCAATATACTTCTTCTTCTTTATAAGCCTGATCCAAGTCTTCTTTTAGTTGAATTCTTTGTTGTCTGGTAACATTGTTAGAGGTGATAGCTCTATCCAAGCGGCCACGAAGCATGTCTATGTTATCTCTAGCATTGTGTCTATTTCCTCTTTTCCATCTAGAAATATGTTGTCTGCATCGTACCAATCTCTGAGCAAGCGGCGTTTGAATCAATTGGGTCTGTCCCATTCCTCTCCATCCTCTACAAACTGTGTCATGAAAGCCATCTTTAGAGCTTAGTCTCGCATCAAATCTAAACATACGCCGTGGTGTTTCCTTCTGAAAAGCTATATGAGTGATCAAAGGCCTATGATCAGATTCCCCGATCTCAAGGAACTCTGTTTCTGAAGCAGGAAATGCAGCAAACCACTCTGTATTAGCCATGGTCCTATCTAGGCAACATTGTACTTGATGCATGCCTCTCTGACCAATCCATGAAAATTTATCTCCCACAAAATTCAAATCAGTGAGATCATTGTTGCGAACTAGAGTTCTGAAGTCCACAAATGAAACTTCAGCACGAACTCTCCCTCCTATCTTCTCATGATTCCCCAAGATTTCATTAAAATCTCCTAATAACATCCATGGTTGATTCCTTCTCCCCACACCAATTCTATCAATTTGTTCCCAAACCGTGTGTCTTAGAGAAGTAATAGGGTGACCATACACAAACGAGAAATAGAAAGCTCCTTCATTACAATTGACCATACAATCGATTAGATTTGGAGATTGGCTTAAAATAGACAACTGTACATCATTCTTCCAATAGATAACCAAACCCCCACTAGTACCTACTGGCTTAACTGAAACATAATTAAGAAAATTCATCTGAGCACCCACATCCCTTACATAATCATCATCTTGTTTTGTCTCTGAAAGGCATATAATGTCCGGGAGATACAACCTATTGATCTCCTTAAGGCGTCGAACTGTCGAGTCAATGCCTAGACCTCGACAGTTCCAACAGGTTGTTCTCATGGTGGCTGTGGTGGTTCAGGGCCCACCGCGCCTCTCAAATTGGTACTCACGTCACTTTCTTCAGTTGGAGCCATCAACTCTTCCCTCATCTCCCGATTACTAGCCTTCTTTCTCTTGGAGTGTCTTGCATCACTTGATTCTCCTTTCTCCATACGAGAGAACCTGAACTTATTTTCATCAGCCTGCTCGAGCCAAGCTTTCCTCTTGAGCACTTCACGTCCATCAAACCTTGTACCAAACGGGTTGACAGGATTGTACATCTCCTCTGAATTAATATCATCGGAGAACATTGTACGCTTAGCCAAAGAACCCCACAATTCATCCTGTTCCTCAACACGCTCCTCATCTTCTTCTTCCATCAATCTATCCTCACTCGCAGTTAAAACTTCTTCATTAACTACTGGCTCCACAGCATTCACCCCATCGTGCTCTTCATTAATTTCTTCAATAATCAACCCTCGGTTAGGACTTACACGATCATTTCCATCCTCATCTCCGCTATCTTCATCCCCATCTGGATTGAGACCACCGTTCTGAATGAGACATGCTCCCGAGTCATGTGTTAAACGCCCACAAACATCACAGAAACCACGTAAACGCTCAAAAGTGAACCTCAGCATTGTAGTAACTCCCTCTGTGAATTGGAATTGTCGTTGGAACTGTAGTGGCTCATCAACATTCCAATTTACTCTGACCCTCGCATAGTCACGCCTAGCCGCAACATCAGAATTATAATCAACATCCATGTACATACCCAAGGCTCTCCCAATATGCATAACAATGGCTTGACTC